GAAGCCTATGGGGGAAGCCTATGGGGGAAGCCTATGGGGGAAGCCTATGGGGGAAGCCTATGGGGTCATCCGGACCGCAGTGTCATCCCAATGGGGTCAGTGCAAATGGAGGAAGGTTATGGGGTCACTCTGAATATGGCATCACCCCAATGGAGTCAATGCAGCCCAGGGAAGGTTATGGGGTCATCCGGACCGTGGTGGCATCCCAATGGGGTCAGTGCAACCCAGGGAAGGTTATGGGGTCATCCGGACCATGGGGTCACCCCAATGGGGTCAATGCAAATGGGGAAAGGTTATGGAGTCATCCAGACCGTGGTGTAACCCCCCAATGGGGTCAATGCAACCCAAGGAAGGTTATGGGGTCATGTGGACTATGGGGTCAACCCAATGGGGTCAGTGCAAATGGGGGAAGGTTATGGGGTCATCTGGACCATATAGTCATCTCCATCCACCCCACAACCCCATAACCCCATCCACCCCATCACCCCACAACCCCAATGGGGCTGCTTATGGGGTCGGGGGGGGAGGGGGGCTGACCCTATATCCCCCCACTCACGTTGGGGTGGGATGATCACCCCATAACCCCATCCACCCCAACAGGGTCATCACTCTGACCCCATAACCCCAATGGAATCATCACCCCCAATCCCATCAACCCCATAACCCCAATAGGGCCATCACCCCAACAGGATCATCACACCATTCACCCCATAACACCAACCAATAGGGCCATCACCCCATCCACCCCATCACCTCACAGCCCCAATGGGGCCGTTTATGGGGTCAGGGAGGGGCTGACCCTATATCCCCCCACTCACATTGGGGTGGGATGATCACCCCATAACCCCCATCCACCCCATCACCCCACAACCCCAATGGGGCCGTTTATGGGGTCAGGTAGGGGCTGACCCTATATCCCCCCCACTCACGTTGTGGTGGGATGATCTTGACTTTGATCTCCTTGGTGGCATTTGGGGTGGTGTTGAGAGGTTTGTATTTTTTCTCCGCCGGAGGATTATCCCCACAAAGGGAAGAAGTGCTGCAAGAAAAGGAAAAAGAGCTCAAAATCCCATAAAAAAAAAAAAACAAACCTATTTTTCATTCCCCCCCCAGTTTTTGGGGTTTTTTTTTTTGGCTCACTTTTGCCTTTTGATGGGCATCGGTTTCAGGTTGTATTTGTCGGCTGTGGAGGAGGAGTTCGTTTTCTTGGATGGTGTTAATGAGGGAGTTTCCATCTCCAGCCCTGCGGGGTTAACGAGGAGGCGGTAATTAGCGGGGTGGGGGGGTGGGAGACCCCCGATTTGGGGCATCCCAAATCCTCCCGTTGGATTCCCAGTCCTTAAAATGGAGACAGGGGACCCAAAACTTGAGCTGCAGAGACACGATGCTGAGAAAATGGCAGCAAATCCCATTAAAATACCCCCAAATCCCATTAAAATACCCCCAAATCCCATTAAAATACCCCCAAATCCCACCCACAGACCCCAAACCCCACCCTAAATCCCATTCAAAGGCTCCAAATCCCATTAAAATACCCCCAAACCCCATTCAAATACTCCCAAACCCCATTCAAATACTCCCAAACCCCACCCTAAATCCCATTCAAAGACCCCAAATCCCACTCAAAGACCTCCAACCTCACTCCAAAGACCCCAAATCCCATTCAAAGGCTCCCAATTCCACCCTAAAGACCCGAAATTCCATTCAAAGATCCCAAATCCCACCCTAGAGACCCCAAACCCCACTCTAAATCCCATTCATTGTCCCCAAATCCCATTCAAAGACCCCAAATCCCACTCAGAGCCCCCAAATCCCACCCTAAATGACCCCAAATCCCATCCTAAAGACCCCAAATACCACTCAGAGCCCGCAAATCCCACCCTAAATGACCCCAAATCCCACCCCAAAGACCCCAAATCCCACCCCAAAGACCCCAAAGACCCCAAGCCCCACCCCAAAGACCCCAAATCCCACCCTAAATGACCCCAAATCCCATTCAAAGACCCCCAAACCCCACCCCAAAGACCCCAAACCCCACCCCAAAGACCCCCATACCCGTAGACCGGAACTTGGCGTGACTGGGGGCTGTGGTCCGTAAAGATTTGGGTTTTTCCCTTTTTTTCTCCATCCCTTCTTCGTTTTTAGGGTCGGATTTGAATTCCTGGCTTTTTTCCGGGATGGGATTTTTGGGTTTGTTTTCTTCTTTTCGTTTCTTTTTGTCTTTTTCTGTAGGTTGAGAACCGCTCTGGGAACGGATGACGGCCATCCAGTCGCTGACCAGGATGGAGGCCAGGCGGCGCAGCTCTGGGGGGGGGGG